TCGGCCGAAGACAAAATGCTGTTAAAAAAAACCTTTGATGATCATGCGGCTCAGCTGGGCATGGGAGGGGGCAGGGATTTTTGCTACCAGTTCTCTGAACCACCCGCCGCCATCGCTACCAGATCGGGTGATCTGGTCCAAACCGGGAGCATTTCACCCCTGCTCTGTGGCCTTGCATGGGGAGCCCAAAGGAGCACACAGTCATGACAGCCCTCCCCCTATGTTGACAACCCTGTTAAAATTATCTCCTTGAAAATTTTTATAATTTTTAAATTTTTAATTCTAACATTTTAACTTTACATTTTAATTTTTATATATGGTTTCATTATTGATGCTGTATTGCATGCCACCCAAAGTCCCTCTTTGAGGGAGATGGGCAGTTTATAGGAGAGAGATTGGGGACTATATAAATTGAAATAATAATTACATTATTATTAATCTTTAATAATCTATAATAATACTAATAGTAGTAGGCTCTAATCCATGGTGGATTATGGCTTTGTATATTGTGAATCCAGCAACTATGGTTTATAAAATTGTGGTTAGACAACATATGGGTTCATGTAAAATGTGAATCCAGTTTTAGACTAGTTCAAATATTTTTGCATCTGTGATAGGGGAGGATATAGTCTATGTTTTTACACTTTCCAGACATCAGAACTTCTGACAGAGAAAAATCAGCTTCAGCTTTGGAATCTGATAATGCAGATGAAGAAAACTAAGGAAACTAAAACTCCCCTGACACTGTGCCAAGGTAGAAGACTGTGTGGCTTTGTTTAGACAGAGAAATCATTTACATTTTAACATTGTTTTATAGAATTATAAAAGCTTCAGTTGGCAGTTAGCATCTGAAAAGGATAGCCCTTTTCCTCACTCAGCCCTCTGTATTGCATTGAGCGTACCATAACAGCTTCATGAAAGGCACAAAATCATCAGCTGAACCCTATTATGGAAGAAAGTGACAAAAGCTTTATTTGTTGAAGTTATTCTTATATATGTTTTGAACTGTAGAAGGTGGAAGTATGGCAGTAAGGAAGGAAAACAGAAGGAAAAAGAGCCAGAACTCCCACCTTCGTGTATGCAGATTTAAGTCTTACATGAGCATCCATGCTCTAAATGAAAATGGCACTTTTTGGTATTAGGATTTCTTCTCTCCCAACTGTAAGGGAAGTTACTCTTACCGGCATGGCTCCAAAACAACTCTCTTGTAAAGAAAGCATGCACCTGTACAGAGCTTCAAATTCTATGTTTTTTCTGAAGACTGTACGGCATTTATTACACCTGGACAATAACTATGCCCTTTAGCTAAGGCCACACCTTTCGATCTGGCAGAGGAAAATTGCCATTCGCTATCAACATCCCTGCCCTGCTCTGTTCTCCCTAATGTTCAGAGATGTTCGTGCTACCCCGTATTTCTCCTCTTCGATTACACTAGTGGTGATATCTAGATGTTACTGTCCTTATAGGATCTCGTTTTCGCTCTCTTTGCTCTCCTCTCGCGGTCCTGCAGATTTCTGCAGCCCTCCTTTTGATTGCAGGAGGAGTCAAAGTGCAGGTATGCCATTCTCATTCTGAAACCTTCCTCAAGCTGATGATACCCCATCAATCACAGGGTCCTGCGCTGCAGGTTGTTCCCCCAAGAGCCGCTTCCGCAGGGAAAGTGGGCGGGCGCCTCCGGAACCTTCTTCCTGGCTTCCGTTTCCCTCGTTACCGCGGGGGAGCCCTTTGAGAGGAGCACAGGGAGGGACGGAGGGTAAACAAGCAAGCGAAAGAACGCTGAATAATACGCCGGCGCCTCTTCCCTGTCATTGAGCCAAGGCGAGAAATGAGATCGGGGGAGGAAATGCGCCGGATTTTGCAGCGCGGACCTTTTGGGAGCCAGGTAAAGGTGCCTCTATTCATAAGCTCCTGCCTTGCGCCTAAGTGCATATGCTCTGCAGATAGATGCGTGTCTGAGAATGTGAGCATAACAACCTTTGGTGTGTCCGAAGGATCCAAAGTCGCGCCTCATTATCAGTATTATGTAAGTTTTCCCAGTAAATGTCCTTGTTCTGGATTTCATTAAAAAAAAAAATCTCTAGGCATCTCGAATATGCCCTCATTGCTTTTGAATCACATAGGGTTCTATAATAGCAAGCAGGTTCTTAGCCTTCGTGGACCTCTATATGTGTGTGTTTATGTTTTACTGCTACTGTAAATAGGACAAGAATAACACAGCTTGGTAAAGGTGAAGTTTCACCTAGGGCAGTTTAACAAAAGAATCAAGGAAACAATGTGAAAAGCACAAAGCTAATATTTCCTTTTATGTTGAAATACCTGCAGTTAATAATTTGCACAAACTCCATGTTAAGTTCCTTTTACTAGCTGCTTTTGTTGCTTTTATGTATTCTTTCACAATTTGCTGCCAATAGTTCCTCCAAGTAGCCCAAGGTATGGACCAGATTTTAATATATGCCTCCATTCCTTGTAAAGTATACTAACCCTGGAGGTACTGATTAGGTCAGAAGCATCCAATAGGATCATGGTTAGAATGTTGGAATTTGAACCCAGGTCTTTCTAATTTAAGGATCAGTTCCACATTTAGCAGTACTGTTTAAAGTAACTTTGGATATAAACCCTTTCTTTGGGCTGGGGCAGAGAAATTTAAATGATGAATCAGGGAGAAGAATTGTACAATATTTTTATAACTAATAACTATTAAATAGATATATTTACAAGGAAATATTGTATGCAAGACCCGCTCTCAAACCTGAAGTGAAGGGAGGGTAATATTCCAGGTAAATAAAAGTGAACACAAATATCCTGACTCTGTCTCCTGGTCTGCATACAGCCCACTCTTATCAAAAAAGAATTATTACAGTTTTGCCTGTCTAGCTTTAAAATTGATTTGGAAATTATCTTTCTTTATCCCTGTATGCATGATTGTAAAATATGAAATAATTATTAGTTGAATCTATATTACTATGAATTACCTGGAGATCATAGTACATATTACTATGAATTACTTGGAGATCAGGATTAAACAACATGAAACACAATGGCAGAATTCACTCATTCTGTTAAGCCACAGGGTAATTTGTTAAGTTTTGGGATAGTAAGTTGTATGAACTCCAACATTGTGCTTTGTGTTATTTGTAAATTGGTATGAATTGTAAATAGTTATTGTAATGTATTCAATAAAACTAGATTAAATAATATCTAATTTAACAATGTGAAATCAGCTAGTGAGAATTAATTCTATCTAAAATATACAGAGGCATGTCTTCATCAGCCCAAAGGAAATTTTTGAACAATTTTTGTAATTACCTGGTCTGTTAGCTTTTATTGCCATATGTATCATTCACTTTACAGCTATTGTCCTTTCTTCCTGTTTCAGTTACTGGAATCAACTGAGATTGACAACTATCTCATCCTTGCTCTGGTTTAATGACTTCATCTCTGGGAGCATCTGTTCCCATTATTATATGACTTGCTTTTATTTCTGTTGAGTGGATGCAATGCTTCAGATTTTCCTCCATGAGAGAAGAACATGCACAGCTATAAGAGTATTGTATTACTGTTTTTTAGATTGGTTTTGATATATTTCTGGTTTTTAATTATATTTCTGCAAGCTACTTCAAACATTTAGGAGAGTATTGTAAGCATATTTGAGATATTAAATATTTTATTTTTGTATGTACTCTTAGTTTATGGTATGAACACTATAGAAACCATGAGCTGTTTGGAAATGTATGCAATAACGGGGCTAAGCCTGTACAGTGAATATTTGGTGATCTCAAACCTTTTCTACCAGAAGCCCTTTGCATCTATAAAGCTTAATTCCATCTTCTGTGTGGTAGTTCCCACTGCCGCTCTCTGTCTTCTAGGGAATACCTTGCCTGCTCCTAAACTGTGTTACTTTCCAACATTCTAAAAAAACCAGGAGAGAATAATTGAATTCTATATCATCTGCTGATCCAGTAACACTGAAGGGCAGCCCTTCTTCCCATCCACTCCTATCTACTTCATTTTGGAAAATAGACAATCTCACAAAAAATAGGTAATTGTTTTTTTAAAAAGGAACAGAAGGAATATGAATATATTTTTGACTTTAAATAATCACAATCAAATATTGAGTAAGCAAAGAAAGTAAAAAGATGGATTTGATCAGATTGTAGGATGCATAAGGCTCTGGGTAAGGGTAAACCAAAAGATGATCTACCGTTAATTTAGAGGCAACTCTGCTCTTAAGAAGTTCAGAGTTCCATAAAACACAGCATTATTGAACTTATATGGGGGAATGTGAATGCTACAGACAAAAGATTAGATTTTAAACACAGAATTTAAAAAACGGTCTAGTTAAATTTTTAAAATCATTTCAGATCTAAACAAATGTCTCTCTGTCTCAGTTCCTCCTGGACCCCTTCCTACAGATTCCTGAAGATTGTAATTAGTTATTTCTAAAGCTATTGGAGAAATAGAAGAAACCTTATTTCTTTTTCACAGTCTAAAAAGATAAAAAATTTCCCTATAACAGAAAGGGAGCAGTTCAAAGGAGCCTATCTCCCTGTGTGTGTGATTGCAAGTTATGCCTCTGTCATCTTGATGGTATATTAAAACTAAAATGCATTTGCCTGTCAATTAATGCAGGGTGGCCTTTCCTGTCCTTTGCAATAATGCAGACTCCTGGTTAGAGCATGTGTCAAAAATCATCTTCATGCTCTATGGAATTGTTTACTAAATTCCTCTTCAAAAGCCAAATTATTTCTTTTAACTTAATCACAATATGAGTGATTCAGACTTCTTGGCAAAATAAGTTCAGTTCCTCAGAGGAGCAATAGTGCAAATTCATCGAGAAGCTTCTTGACTGGGCTGCTGCCATGAAGCTCTTTGTTCCCAAACTACTTGTGCTTCTTATTGGCCACCTGATGCCAACATTGAGTTCAGCTCTTTTCCTTTGGGATTGCCTCTTTCTGTTTCTATGCTTTTTCTGTATTTCCTGTAGCAGCCAGTAAATGCTGAGCTTCATTGTCGCCCCGATTCTACCCTGAATTAAGGGGTTAAAGAGTCATAGAAGAGAGGGTTTTTTTTTGTAGATTTGTCCCTAATAACTCACCCTTTTTATTTAAATCTCCCTTCAAACCAGCTCTCACCTGATTAATGGCCAAACTTCCATAAATTAACTGGTTCTTAGCATAGATGTTTCATTGGTTGCTTAGTAGGCTTGTTATCTGGGACATCTTCCCATTGATTAGAAATATCATATTTTTAATGTCATGAATTTCCATACAAGAGGAGTGCAGGATCCCACATTTAATAAATGTTGCCTTTACCATAATTTTCAGTTGTTTGATTTTGTTTCTTTTACAGTACTTTTTTTAAATTATATTAAATATAATCCCTAATGATGCACTAAACATCTAAGATTGTCACAGGGCAATAGTGCTCTTAGCATGCAGATTCCTAAGAATCTATTAATAGAAACTAACATTCTATTGAATGCCGCAGGTACAGGCAGATTTGTCCATAATTGACATTGAAATGGAAACAAATTGACATCATGGGACCCTTATTTCATATACAATAGTAATGGTGCAACCAGAAATTCAGCAGGAAAAACAATGAACATCAAAGGCCAAATGGAGGAACCCCCAGGGAAGACTTTTTTGCTCAGCCTCAATTCATAAAAATTGCATGGGGCATTTCAGAAGTTGAACATGGTGGATTTGTACTTTGTATTTGTTCTGCCACAGAACTTTGTATACTAGCATTGCAGCAGATTGAGAATATTGTACAACATCAATAGCAATGTGATTGCCTAGCCTTGATCCTGAATGGTTTTCTTTGTTTAGCAAAAAAAATTAGATATTGGAGAAATACACAAATTGTGGCTTGCTGTTTTTTGCGTTTTAGTCAATTTCCTTGCTTTTATTAGGCTGTCTGAATCAATCTATTTGATAAACTAGTTTGCTCTAAAAAGATGACTACAGCACAATAATTTCCTTAGTGAGTTGATATCTTGTTTGGCATACCCACTTGTATGTTAAATTTCTAGTTCTTTATATAATTCTATGTCATTGGATTAGTTGCATAATGGACATTAGTGGGAAACAAGCAGGAAGTTGTGAAGGCTGTTAATCACATGGAGTTCTGCCAACAAGAGAGGTAGATGTGTTGTTTTGCTAAATGAGGATACAGTTGATCATGGGAAGATGAGATGTATGGATACATTGATATTGAGAACAGTTTGCCAAGAAATGCTTAAATGCTATTGCACTATTATTTATTTGTAAGATAAATTCAGTGTGAAAAATGATGAAAGACATAGCACATCAATTCTTTTTGTTTGGATCATTTTTCATTAGTTTAAATAAGATGAGGTTTGTTTGCAAGATTTAATGTCTGACTTGCCATGTTTATTAGTTGGATCTATTTTAGATAAATGCCAGAACTCTAACTTCTGGTTGCTGTGATCGGAGTTTGGAAAGATTTCTCTTACCACTTTCATCTGTGAGCCAGCAGGGATTGACAAGGATAGTAAGTCATAAGAAATTGAAAATCGGGCCAGCGGGGGCGGGGGGGACGACTGGACAGTTAACTGAGTAGAAACTGGAACCTGTGAGGAATAAAAGGTAAATAGTTGGATTGGATGTTTCTTTTTAAGCATTGGAAGTCTTGATTCTCATTTTTCTCTCCTAGGAAAGTGAGACAAAATAAATAGGTTATATTCAACTTTTCAGTTCAGAGAAATGCAAACCTATCCTTACCAGATATGTAGAAAATGAACTTCTTTTTGTGTTATAAGAGTAGCAGGTATTATTATTATTCTTACAGGGAAATAAAACCAATAGTGTTGCATTTGGAATATCAGGATATAGAGTAGATAATCTGTGATTCTGCAGAGAAAAGACAGCTGCACACTGTGCACACAATAGACAATGCTACTATGCAAATAGTATAGAAATCTATAGGGAGCAATGTAAAATGTTCATAAATAACTTAACTACCATAGTAAAGGATTAGCAAAAGGAGTATACAGTGTGGTAACTGTTTTGAAAATAATAAACTTTTAAGAGGAAAAAAATTTAAAAATTAAAACAAACATGGGAAAAATATTTTTCTGTTTTCAGATAGGAGAGACCTAGGCATTCTTTAAGATCCCTGAAGTATGTATCTTAGTCACCAAAAAGACAATGGTGGAAACATTGTCTTATCAAGTCCCCTTTTTTATATAGAATGTTTAACTTAATTTTTCCACTTAGTGAATTAGTTTAAGTTATTATGTTATTATTATGCATAAGTGACTGAATATGCACTACCATTCCTCCAACTGCTATGCTAACAGGATATTGTTGTGTTTTATAATCTGGTGCATACCTGCATAATTTATCTTCTTGTAACTGCACAAATAATTCTGACATTTTCAGGCAGATATAAGGAACATACAAAGGCCATTGCTGGCCTTTGAACTCTGTCAATGAACTCTTCCTAGCTATAACCCACCTTCCAAAGCTGAACTCCTTGATTAGCTTGGCCCCAGGATACCGTATTTTTTGCTCCATAAAATGCACTTTTTTGTCCCCCAAAGTAATCACCTTGAGTCACATGAAGGCAGTTTACAAATTTTTGTGTGTATAAATAAATGGAAGTGTTACCATAGTCGTTACCCTCTATCCAGTTACTAGCCAAGTACCGTATTTTTGGACTATAAGATGCACCGGAGTATAAGATGCACCAAGATTTTGAAGAGGTAAACAAGAAAAAAAAAGCTTTTGCCCTCCCCGGACCCCAGGAGCACTCTGCAGGCCTCCCAAACCCTCTGCTCATCCTGTTTTTTGCAAAAATGGGGCTTACAGAGGGTTTGGGAGGCCTGCAGAGTGCTCCTGGGGGCTAGGGAGGACAAAAGCACCATTTTTGGCCTCCCAAACCCCCCATGTGTCGTGTTTTGCCCTCCGCAGCCCCCAGGAGCATTCTGCAGGCCTCCCAAACCCTCTGCAGGCCCCGTTTTTGTGAAAAACGGGCCTGTTTTTGCAAAAACAGGACGCACGGGGTGGGGTTTTGAGAGACCAAAAATGACTGTATTCGGTGTATAAGACACACCAACATTTCCACCCTCTTTTGGGGGGGGGGATGTGTCTTATACTCCAAAAAGTACGGTAACTCCCAAAGATGCAATCATTTGAGAGCCTCAGATAAACATTTTAGTGTGCTAAATCTATGGGAGAAGAGTCTTCTAGGGTTGTTCGAGATTGCTGAGTAGAGCCTGAGATTAATGGGCCAAAAGGAGCCAGAAATTTATAATTTCATTTCAGTAGTTACACTTAAGTTACGCCTCTTAACTTTCCACTGTTTATAGGTGCTTTCTAGTAGGGCATATGAATCTATTGTAACTAAGGTTACTTAAGAGCATTTTATCATGTTTTACAGGAAAATCCAGTTTTTGTACAGAATTCTTGCTGAATCTCCAATACGTCTTCATTCAGGAAGATAAAGCTGACGACAACGATTATGCATGACAACATATACAAATGAAAGTGGTTTCAAGCTCCTGAAGTCAAATGCCCATGGCAATGAAAAATATATTGATTCTGTCACCAGGTTAAAAGAAATACCTGCAAGAATTTTTCTAGAGATACATCTTTGTCTTTTATCTTATTAAAATACGGTACTCCCAGAGATATAGGTCTCTTGACTACAAATAAAATGGAGGCCTTAGAGGTTGATGACATTAGTCCAGCTTTGGAGGTGACTGAAGACTTCTTCAGCACCTTTGATGCTAAGCTGGAAAATGTTCAGCCACTGGAAGTTTATGGTGTTCAGGAGATTCCGGAACTGGTTGGATGTGACGCATTTAATAAAATCACACCCTGTGAAGATTTAAGGAACGCTGCTTCTTTAGGGAAGAATAACCTTGTTTGGGCACGCTGCAAAAATGGAGTTTCAGAAACCAAAGTAGAGACTGCATTTCCTGCCAAAGAACACTTTAGGGGAATGGTTCCAGATAATCTCTCCTGGATTGAACAGGGAGATGCTTCAACTTTTAATATCTTTAACATTTGCCAGAGGAGAAAGGATCGGCCCCGTTCTGTGAATGATGTTATAGTCCAAAATGAGGAAATTTCCTCTTTCAAGCCAGGCCATAACAGGTCACATTCTGATATTAGTCATATAAATTGGGGCGTCATCTTCAATAATGCCTCTCCACAACAGCTGTCTAATCAGGCAAGCCAGTGCTCTAAACATTCATTTACACCAACTGGATTCAAAAAGGGGAAAGAGATTCAAGGGAATACTGGTAAGTGCTAATATTTTGCTCCAACTATCTTTTCTTCTTGTTCGTAGCCATTTCTTTTTGAAAGAAAAACAAACTTAAGGACAGGGATGTCCAACCTTGGCCAGTGGAAGACTCGTGGACTTCAATTCCCAGAATTCTCCAGCCAGCATGGGGAATTCCACAAGCATGGCTGGCTGGGAAAATCAGGAACTTGAAGTCCACAAGTCCCGATTCTGGGAGTTGAAGTCCACGAGTCTTCCACTGGCCAAGGTTGGACACTCCTGATTGACAAGTTTACAGCACTGATTTCTGGGTTCAGTTTCCAATTCCACTGTATATTCATTAAATGAAAGAAGCAAGTGATACGAAGGATATGCTGAGAGAGAGAGAGAGAGAAAGGAAAACTCCCTCTCAAAATCTTATAGTGTAAATGATAGTAGATAAGGGTAATTGTGCAAAGCTTTTATACTCAATCCAATAAAAATGCAAACACCACTTCTGTACGGTATCCTAGTTCATGTATATACTTTGTGACAAGAAAATTATTTTTCATTGAATGTTTTTATTTATTAAATTTATATGCTTCCCATCTCACTCTGCAAAGCATCTAAGAGCAAAAAAGGAAATTGCTGGATTGTTTTTGTGTGGTGTTATTTTCATTCTTAATTTCTTCCAAGCGGTCAAATAGTTAACATTCTGAGAAGCTTGGAAGCTTTATGCTTGCTTCCAAGCTTTCTGTCTTGTTGCTGTTTGGAAATTCTTGCTATTGTAGCAAACTCCTGGTAGTAAAAACTCAGCAGTATTAAACTGAGGGAGCAATGAGTCAAGAAATCTCTCAAATGGTTCACTAATGCATTAAGAAAAAAATTCTGCCAATGCATGCTTATTCTACAGTAGATGTGATATTTCCGTGATGGCGAACCTATGGTGCGCATGTGCGCACCAGCCATCTGATTTTCGGGCCTTCTGGGCCCACCAGAAGTAGGGAAACAGGCTGTTTCCTGCCTCCGGAGGGGCTGTGGGGGTGAGGAAGGCCCGTTTTTCTTTCTTACCTGGCTCCAGATCCTCTCTATGCATCTGCGGAGGGCGAAAACAGCCTTTCCCACTCCCTTGGAGGCCCTCCAAAGGCCTGAAACGGCCCATTTCCCAACTCCCAATGGGACAGGAAGTGACTTTTTTGCTGTCCCCAGCCTCCAGAGACTCCTAGAAAGGCTGGGGACAGCAAAAAAGTCACTTCCTGTCCTACCGGGATTTGGGAAATGGGCCGTTTCAGGCCTTTGGAGGGCCTCCGACAGATTGAGAAAAGCTGTTTTCGCCCTTCCCAGATAAATAGAGAGGATCTGGAACCAGGTAAGAAAGAAAAACGGGCCTACCATGCCTTCGCGTTCCAGGAGCAGGGGAGAGGGGGTGTTGCATGGGCAGGGCGCATAGAATTATCGGTGTGGGCACGCACGTGCGTGACCCTCTCCCACCCCCACCCCTCTCCTGGCACGCGATGGCAAAAAGGTTAGCTATCACTGTGATATTTGATGCCTCAGTCCTAATTTCTCTATAATTATATGACACAAAATTTCCTTTAAAATTACTGTATGTGAGGGGGGTTCCTTTATTTAAAGGTCTTCTCAACTGTTTATTTGTCTAACACCCAAGTTAGCTAATATCTTTGGCTATTAATGGATATGGTTGAGGATTCTGGAGGAATAAATGTGCTTTATTTAATTAAATGTCATTAATGCCATTTGGTCCTAATACCTAAGTAAAACCTCCATGTTTCGAGACATTGTACCTCTAAATATGTGATGCTCAGGTGGGTAAAGAATGAGGAAGTATTCTTGCTTCTTCATTCTGGAACAACTAACTAGTAACAGCTGTAAATAGATTGCTAAATTAGATGGACCTTTGGAGTGATTGAATAAAGTAATTCCTCTATCATATGCAGACAATAACACTACCCAGAGAGTGTGGACCATGAGAAACGCAACCCAAGTTTTGCTTACAGTGTGATCTTTGCTTCTATTACCTGGAGAGGTTGTTAGAAAACAAAGAAAGCGAGAAAGATGTTAGCTACTCTCAGTGTCCATTTCAGATATATAACATACATTACAAAAATTGTAATGAGACATAATAAAGAAAAGGGATATAATCTGTAGAGAGAAAATTCTTACCCTGCTCTTTTCTCTGATGTTTCCTTCTTTAGGATTTATTTCTGTAGAATTACAGTTCAAAAAAAAAATAGCCCAGATGTGGGCAATTTAATGTGATTATCTTCTATTTACTTTGATGGGCTCTGATTTGCTCTGCCTCAATTGAATTTCCTTGTTTGGAGAAAGTAAAGAGAAATTTTCTTTCCCTTTTAGAAGCTGGAGAGAAAGTACTCTGTGGAAAGGTATTGTGTAGAAGGCAGGAGAGGTGGAACAGGAGATGGTTGATGGAAGGCAATGGTCAGAGAGCTGTGATCTGGCCAGCTTGTGCCAGCAACTGCTGCTCCAAAGAGTGTGCTGGATATGCATGTTAATCAAGTTATTCCTCACTATTATTCCTGTTGAAGTGGGAAGCTAGTTCACAGTAGCTTGAGAGACAGTTAGTAGAAAGAATGACGGGCTGTGGAAGATTGGGGGTGGGGGGAATGGGAGGAGAGAGAGAGCGCTTTTGTCTTGCTTAACAAAAGACAAGCAAATCTCTGAGACAGTTTAAGGCAAGCAAGGAGGGGAAAACAGGGATGGATGTGGCATGAAAACTAGGAGAACCTGAAGTATCATCTGTGCTTGATAGAAATGAGAACAACTGAATGGAGTTGTAGTTGGGTCTGCAGTAGCCATGCTGTTTCTCTTATTGGATTAACAGAAAAGGAAGATGGCAATAGAATGTGTGCCCATTATCTCCACTACAAAGGGGTGGGGTGGAAGGGGAGGGGGCAGGATAGGCTCAAAAAAAAGCCTCAAAATGAGTTTTGAGTTAGAAATTAGAAATTTTATTAGAAATTCTAATAAATCCAAGAGCAAAAGATGGAAGGCAAAGAAAATTGGTTTCTTATACTGTATTCTTTTGTCTCATCGATACCTCTTTCCTTCAAGTTTAAATTGAATTTAGTTTCTTTGTTGCTTGCAAATTAAATAAAATTTCTCTTTTGGGGTTTTTTCAGGGAGAATAAAATACATGTTGGCAGAGCAGTCTTTTATTACTTGCTTTAGTGCAGCATGAGAGGAGAAACATATCATGGGGCCATGTACTGGAACAGCTATCACATTCAGTGCCCAAGCTTGGAGTACAATGCACAAGTTGAAAATGCAGACACAGCAATTAAAAATATTTCTGAAAACTATAGTTTTCAGGTCCATTAAATTATAGAGCTGAATGCAGGAGTGAAATGCACCCGGTTCGGACCAGATCGCCTGATAGTATCAATAGATCGCCTGGTAGTGGTTCGGAGAACCGGTAGCAAAAATCCCTGCCCCTCCCCCCCCCTGCCCAGCTGAGTCGCACAATCATCAGAGGCTTTTTTTTTACTTTTAAAAGCATTTTTTCTACAACCTCTTCGGCCAAAAAAACGCTTTTAAAAGTTAAAAAAAAAGCCTCTGATGATCGTGCTGCTCAGCTGGGATCGTCAAAGGCTTTTAAAAGCATTTTTTCTACAACCTCTTCAGAGGTTGTAGAAAAAATGCTTTCTAAAAGCTGTGACGATCCCAGCTGAGTTGCCTGATCTGCAGAGGCTATTTTTCTTTTAAATGCCTCTGATGATCAGGCAACTCAGCTTGGATCGTCAGAGGCATTTAAAAGAAAAAAAGCCTCTGCCGATTAGGCAACTCAGCTGGGATCGTCAGAGCCTTTTGAAAGCATTTTTTTACAACCTCTTTGCCGAAGAGGTTGTAGAAAAAATGGTTTTAAAAGTAAAAAAAAAAAATTGGCCACGCCCACCCAGTCACATTACCCCCACCACCACCAAGCCATGCCCACAGAACCAGTGGTAACAAATTTTAGATTTCACCACTGGCTGAATGGTACTCCTTGTTTTTTGACCTTGGCAACTTTAAGATGTGTGGATTTCAGCTCCCAGAATTCCCCAGTCTGCATATCTTTGGAGATTCTCAATCATCCAGGTCACGGTTGTCCCAAACCATGGGGCAACTGGACTTTTCCCAGAGGAAACTGGATTTCCTTGTTTTTCTTTGAAGATGTTTCACTTCTCATCCTTCTCATGCTTCTGGCTATTATCCAACCCACCATTCAGTTCAAGAATCTAAATGAAAGCTTTCCAGGCAGATGGCTTTTAGTCTCCTTTGAGCACATCCATAGAAAGGGAGCTCACCATCTTTTGGCTGTTTGGTTCCACCATCAAACTGCTGCCGTTAGTTAGGAATTTTTTGTTGTTGTTGATCAGAATCTGCCTTCCTATTTTATTTTTATTTATTTATTTTTATTTATTTTTATATGCCGCTCTTCTCCGGAGACTCAGGGTGGCTTACAATGCGTTAAGCAATAGCCTTCATAGTTTTGTATATTTTATACAAAGTCAGCTTATTGCCCCCACAACCGGGTCCTCATTTTACCCACCTTAGAAAGGATGGAAGGCTGAGTCGACCTTGAGCCTGGTGAGAATTGAACTCGCAGTAATTGCAGGCAGCTGGATGTTAAATGCTGCCTTAGTAGGAGGCATTAGCCTCCTACGCCACTCAGGCTCCTATGACTTAAATATCTTATCATCTAGTCTACGCATTCTATGAGAATATGTATATACATTTCAGTGTACAAATATATCTGAAAACATTAGAAGAATAAAAAATATTATTTTTCCCAGTGATTGCAAAAACATATTTGTGTTAGTATATATCATCCACTTAACAAGTTCCCAGGACATTTTAGAGTATTTTTTTTATTTTGTTTGTTTATGTGTGCGTGTAACAATACTCTTAAAAATATGGAAGAAGGAGGGAGGAAGGTAGTCCAAGAAGTGGCTCTGGAGGTGATCTTAAAAGTACTTATGGGAGAAGGAATTCATGCAAGTAAGTTGTTATGAGTCATTTAGGGATGTCAAATTTAATAGCATTTTGAATTGGGTCCAGTAATGGCCTAGAAGCCAGAGCAGATGGCAAAGAATAGGCATAATATGATCATTTCTGCCAGCTCCCATTAACATTCCTTGCTGCCTATTTTGGATCAGCTGTTTCAAGATCCTTTATAACAGTGGTTCTCAACCTGGGGGTCGCGACCCCTTTGGGGGGTCAAACGGCCATTTCACAGGGGTCACCAAAGCCCTCTCTCGCCCACCCACCCCCACGCCTTCGCTCACCCTCACTCTCTGCTCTGTTGAATCGCCGGCTGTTCGCTTACCCCGCCCACTTCCAAACTATTGCTGCCTCCTGAGTCCCAGCTGATGGCTAGAGGAAAAAAAAACAGTTTAAATTCTTGCCGCGGGGCTTCAAAGGGCCGCCCTATAGCCAGCGGTGGGATTCTGCCGGTTCTAGGGGGTTTGGCCGAGCCATTTGTTAAATTGCTGGCTTGCCCCGCCCCTCCGCACCACTATTTATTGCCAATAAATAGTGGTGGGTGAGGGGCGGGGGAGCCAGCAATTTAATAAACGGTTCGGTGTTTTTTTGTAATTTTATTGGCCCGCGGAGCTTCAGCATAGGCTAATTAGTCCTTGATTAGATCGGCTGCCGACTCTCAGCTGATTTGCTCTCAGCTGTTTTGCTCAGGGCTCTGCTGCTTCCTTGCAAAGAGTCCTGGAGCAGATATTTTTCCCCTAGCTATGCTGAAAAAGGAAACTGAAAGTAAAGCAGGCTTTACTTTCAGTTGGCTTTGCTGTTGCTGCAACGTTGGAAAATTAGGCAGGCAGATTTCTTTTCTTTTTCCTCACCAAAAAAGGTAGGTGCAAACAATGGGAAATTTAGGGCAAAAGAGGAGAGTTCAAGATTTTAAAACACAAAAGAAAAAAAGCTCTATTTAACTAGGGAATTGTAATAATTGAGATACTATTAATTGTATATTGTGTTGAAAGCAGAAATGGTTAAGTTGTGGTTTGGAGGAATATATGGGGGAAATTATTTGGTTTATTATTATTGGTAAATATAATTAATTGATTTGTAAGAAATTGGATTGCATGGAAATAATTGGAATATTCATGTTCATATTGATTAATATACAAAAAAGGTAGTTATATAACTAATTGATTTATATTAAAATGTTGAATTTATATTAAACAACTAATATTACATAATTAACCAATGTGAGGATGGATATAAAAATAGATGACAATGGGAAGGGGTATAATATAGAATAGAAGGGAAAAATTGAATTTGATTAAGATTAGAGATGAGGATGAAGGGTAATATTGTTTTTTTATAAAAATAGATGAGGAATAAATATGGCAAAAAGGAAATATAGAAATTGTAAATTTAATTGAAATGACTAAACACTTTAAATTTGTGAACCGGCCAAATACTCTGTTCAAAGAAAATACATTGTATGTTTGTATGTGTGTTTCTAATTATTGTTATTTATTCATATTTGTTCTCTTTTATTCTTTAAAGTTTAACAATTCATTCTTTATCTTAATATCTTTATATTTGTTTGGGGTTGGCTTTCTTCCCTTTTGTCTTTTTTATTGTACAGCAATTTTTCTCCTCAAACCTACCACCTCTCTCTTTTCTTTCCTTCTTACTTTCTCTTCCTCCCCCTCTTCTTCTCCTCCCTACTTCCTCTTCCTTTCTCCTTCTCCCCCTCTCTTCCTCCCTCTCTTACCCTCACTCCTACTCTAATTTCCCTTCCCTTCCTTCATCCCTCTCTATTGCTGTATCCTTTTATGCATATGGACTATTCAGAGGGCTGAAAAAGTTATTTCTGACTGGTCCTCGCACTTTTGACTAGTCCTCGAACTTACGACTGTCCTCACATTTTACGTTTTTGCCCTATCTTGTCACCATGGTGAAAAGAAGCAGTTGTGAAATGAGTGACATGGTTGTTAAGAATGCTGCATGGGCATAAATGTGAGGATGGTCATAAGTGTGAGGACCAGTCAAAAGTGCGAGGACCTGTCAGAAATGACTTTTTTCAGCCCTCTGAGTAGTCTCTATACACATAGTCATGGCCACCCGGTCACATGACCAGCTAGCCACGCCCACCCAGTCACATGACCTCCAAGCCACGCCCACAAAATAAGCCACGCCCACAGAACCGGTAGTAAAAAAAATTAGAACCCATCCCTGGTTGGGGGTCACCACAACATGAGGAACTGTATTAAAGGGTCGCGGCAGTTGGAAGGTTGAGAACAACTGCTCTAAATTGTCTTTGTGAAGAGGAGAGTTGTAGTGAACCTAACAAACCTCAGTTGATAAAAAATGCCCAGCCACTGTGATTTCCTAAGCCAATATTGACCAACTGTTACTGGTCAACGTAAGCATTATAGAGATGTTTTAAAGCATTTATAATTACCTTTGTTCAAACTCTTTTCTAGAACACAAGCCTACGTATTCAAATATCTTGAAGAAAGGGTATGTAGAAATTAAGAACAACCATGGCAGTTACTGGCAGGCTTGTTATGCAGAACTCTCTCCATATGAACTTTGTCTGTATCAGCTTGACAAAAGCGGCAACCAGAACCTTCCAACAGTCTATCTGCTTTTGCACTTCCAAAGCATCAATGTGGAAACCAATGTAGTTGATGCAGTCCTGTTCAATAATTTGCACCTGCAACTCAAAGCAGAATCACCTTGGGAAGCTTTGGACTGGGGGCAAAAGCTTCGGCAAGCTGTTCATTCTTCAGTTCCATCGTTTCTGAGGCCAAAAGGAGACTTGGTGAACTCATGGAAGTTAGATAATGCTGAGAGCAGCCTCACTCAAAATCATGGTTTACAGAAGGAACCGGCTGAATTTTTCCAGTTCACATCTTTGACCCCAAACATCAAGGATTACCAAAGCATTGTTAAATCAGGGATTCTTTACAGATTGACACTCCAGAATAACTGGAAAGCATTCCATTTTGTACTGAGTGGGTCTCTTCTCATGGCATTTCAGATTGGTGAGCTTGATGAGGACCCTCTGTGGAGCTACAATATTGAGGCATGCCTCTCTGTTCAAACTGATATTCTGGATGATTGTGACTCTTGTTTTCAGGTGATCTTTCCTCAAGATGTGCTTCGTCTCCGTGCAGAAACCCTTCAAAGAGCTCAGGAATGGATGGAGGCTTTGAAGGCTGCAACCAGAGCAGCAAGTTTAGGGCAAAATCTGCAGGTGACACTTAGAAACAAAGTTCAAGGTTTATCTTGTGGAAAAGAACACAGGAAGATCAAGCGCCAGTCTGTCACCACCAGTTTTCTGAGCATTTTAACTACCTTGTCCTTGGAAAGAGGCCTGACTGCTCAGAGTTTCAAGTGTGCAGGTAGGTAACATAAATGATGTTTTGTCGTTCCCAAATCACTTCACTAATATATCTTTACACTGCATAAGAGTGCCTTAGTTTGGTATTTTTGGTGTAGCACATTTTTACATAACTTGATTGTTATTCTGTTTGCAAATCGAGAATTAGGATAATTTGAAACTCCACAATGTACTTCTTCCAAGGGCTCACCAATAAATATTAATTGTGATAAATTGCCACCAGTCAGTCTGAATATGCTGATACATCCTGGCCAATGCAGCTGGGAGTTTCTAAAGTTTTCCCTTTAGCTATAGAATATTAGAAAGAAAGTGTTTTCTTTTCTCTGGTCAAAGTCAAGAATTGTGCTTGTTATGAAACACAAAAGGCAGCTATGCAATCTTGTGCATGGAAAGGTTATCAACTCAGATCTCTAAATATAAAAACATATATTAAAAAAACTATAGACAAAAATAGTAAAGCAATAATAACACACACAGTTCCAATTAAAAAAAATATTTTTCACATTTCTGAACCTCCCATTTCACTCAAAAAGGAACTCTGGGCAGTGTACAATAAAACATCAAAATATAAAAACAGTATATAAAATTAAAATGTTACAACTAAATTTTTTAAAGGAGGCAAGAATAATAAAACCCTGTTAAAATTAATTAACAAAGGCGGAGGGAGAGCTCTCATGGCACCAAAGCAGCCCCATAATTGCTTGCTCTTTTGGGCTTCCCATGCGAGGTCACAGAGCCATGTTTTAACTCTTTTTCAGAAGGCCAGGAGAGTCAGGGCCCACCCCCCCACCCCCCATCCTGGGGGAGAATATTCTACAGGGCAGGAACAATGGCAAACAAGGCTCTTTTCCTAGGCCTCACCAGTCAGGTTCTTTAACTGCAGGGTCTGCAACATACCTCCATCCCCTTACAAGAATCTGAATGACCACAAGATGGAAGCAAAAGTAAGTAGTCTCTTTATCTCATGGAACAATCAAACAGATTTTCCTGGTCCAAGTATGATATATCTCTAATGTGCCTATCTGGTTTATGAATAGCTTTTTATAGAGGGAAAGGAGATTTCTATGTTTTTATATATAACGTTTTGCCAACTTTGTTGTACTTTGATCTTACAAATAGTTCAGTGTATTTAGTATACAGAGTCATTCAACATTCAGTTACGACGAGTTCTTTGGGTAAAACTTTTCTTTGGCCTTGCAACTTTTTATGAATCAATCAAATGAAAGAGAAATAATAGATTACTGCTAATAGTAATAGAAAATTTCTTCAAATTAGAGAAAATCAGCTGTGTAAGCTAGACACATAAATGAGTGGAAGTTCTGTTGTCCTCTCTCTGTTAATTTTTTACATAGTTTGACTACACAAGAGCAGAAATTCTCACCTTCCCCATTAACTTTGTTTTTGGAAAGTGACTGGAAAGATCACAAATAGCAATCACGTTAGTGGAGGATACTGCAATTGTAAATGTGCAACAATTGCCTAGAATCGAATTGAAGTCATGTGACCATAAGGACATGGTGACAGTCATAAGTGGGAGGACCAGATGTAAGTCAACCATCATAACTTTGAACAGTCTTAAACATGGTCATTAAGGGAGGACTACCTGTACAGTAAATAGGTGGCTAAAAAAACAAGAGTTCAGGCTTCTATCTCTTGCCATGGATGATATCCAGCAGTATTTGTTTGCAACCAAAATAAATGCCACTGGTGGGAACCAATTTCCTCCCTTTGTGTATCCCCAAATCTGTTCCAGAGGTCAGAGAAACATTTCTAAGCAGTTGGACATGGGAGGAGGGAAATGGCATATATCACTTAATAACAGATGCTCTCATTGGATTCCTATTATTCCTATTAGGTATGGAATTTCTAGCTAATATTAATATTGACCAGAAATATTGATTCCAAATATTAAATTGGAATCTGTTTAAACTGCTCCAAATATTAAATTCCTTACCACTGATCCTGCTGGCAGACACTGTTATGAGCTGTGGTTTAGCAATACATGGAGAGTCCCATGTTCTGCACCTCTAATATAAATAGCTTTTGCCTAACACAATAAGCTCTACACACAGGCATTTATGCTCTGGTGACGTCCAGAAAGGATTAGGGTAATGTATTCTACATGGAGCTGTCCATGCACACCCAGATCCACCTGTGAAGAGTTCAATTTATTGCTTATGCCTATTCTTCCCAGACCGGCAGTTTGCACCTGGGCCAGACTAAATAAAGTTCAATGGCATTCAAGAGGAGAGAAGAAAGTGGAACCTTGTCCTCTTGTACTTACATAATTATTCCAGAGTAATTACCCACTTGACTCTTCTCCCTGGCTGAGCCAATCTCTCTCTGACTACATTATGTATCTTTCTGCAAGTAGTTTGCTTCCAGGTGCAATTCAAGGTGCTGATCTTGATGTTTAAAGCCCTACATAGCATGGGAGCAGGTTTTTTGAGGGATGGCCTCTTCCCAGTTACATCTACCCATTCCACCAGATCAGGCAGGCAGAGTGTGCTGTGGGTTCCATTCCCAAAAGAGCTCCATCTGGCAGGACCCAGGCAGCATTCCTGCTATGGCCCCTGTTCTCTGGAACATCATTCCCCTGAGGTGAGGTTAGTCCCATCTCTGTTAACCTTCTGGTTTGAAAGGGGGGTAAAAGAGGCCATCTATATTAAAATTAAACAGCCCTCTCAACAGAGTGGGAGGGATAGACACCACCTATCTCCTGTTTACAACATAGTCCTTTCTAGAAGTTCCAAGAAGGTTTTACACCCATTTGCACTCTGATTCAGAAGGCACAAATAAACTTTCAAGTGGCCTCAATTACACTCAGTCATCTGGCCTTCAGAGTGCTAAAGACCAGATGACTGCAAGGAATATGAATCCTTCCATTCCCACCATTCAGTCAAGAAGCTTCTTGGATGAGAAGCAAAATGTCTTCAAGAAAAAACGAAGTCCATTTGCTTTTTGTAAAAGCACTTTTGGAAGTTCCAGAAGACCCTTAAAACATTGTTTTTTCCTTTGGAAATCCAGGGCTTTCAAGATAACTCTATGAGATTAAATGATTTTGTTATCTCACTTTCTGGAGTTCTATTTGTTTAATTTATAACAAAAGAATATTTTGTTGCAAAATAAAATATTTGTTATAAAATAATTTTATTTGTTTACATGTTTATTTTTGATAATTTTACATTATTGCAGAGTTCTTATTGTCACCTGTTTGTGAGATGGGCGGCTGTATAAATATGCTAAATAAATGCATAATAGAGCCCCAAATGTCATTTTGATGCTCCTTATGCAATCCTGGATAAGTAGACAAATTGCACTAATATTTTAAGGCTTGATTTAAAGAAATCTGAACCTTTGATTAGGAAGTTACAAATATTGGGTAGAAATTTGAGGATGCAGTATTAATGCTGCACTTTATGTCCAGAAGTGCAAGCAATTGTTATTTCCAGCAGGGGGCTGTATCAGTAGATTGTCTTGCTTGTAAGAGCAACCAAAGTTTGACACATGCATATAACACATACACATGCACATCTACACACACACACGCACCAAGAAAGCCAATTTACTTATTTGTAGAGCCTGAAAGAAAAATTAGACATTTCGTTTCATTTCATTTCATTTATTAGATTTCTATACCGCCCTACTCCCGAAGGACTCAGGGCGGTGCACAGCCAAACAATAAAAACACATACAATACAAAATTTTAAAAATAGAATAAAATCAAATTAAATAATTTTGGCCCCGACAAATTTAAAACCCCAAACTTTTAAAACCAATTTAAAATTGAATATATAAATACTAAAAGATGTTTAAAATTTTAAAAATCTTTTATAAAAGAGGGGGGAAATTAGGCCAGGCCGGCCTGGTGAAATAGTAAGGTCTTTAAGGCGCGGCGGAAGGTGCGCAGATCCGGGATCCTCCGTATCTTTACATTAATTGAAAAATAATACTTAGCTATTAAATAGCTTTTGTGTGGGGAAATGAAAAATACTACTTTTTCATATGCTAGATTTTATTTAAGGATACGTATACATTAATTCCTACAGAAATATAAAAATGTGCTTATTTTAATAAACTAGGATAAAAATTATAATGATGGGCTGCAACTAAGCATCTATTCCCCTTATTAAAAAGGAGGATTTCCTTCTGCATCTTTTTCAGAGGGCGGATGTATTGCACGGAATTGAAGGGTGAGAGGCTGACTTGTCAGTGGTTGGTGGGATCAACTCTTCAAAGGCTTCTGTTCTGCAAAGCTTTTCTTCTTATCTTTGTTTGTAACATAACCTGACCATGCCAGGTGGTTTGATCAATTAATAAGTTTGAAGCAAGGAAGAAAGTCTCATTCCATTGCAAGAATGTAGTTGTAATGGCTATTAAAGAAGAAAAAGTACAAAAATAGACAAATTACCCTACAAAGTTAAGGTGTTCTTTTCCTTTGTCTCAATCCATAGCACTAGAGTAATTATTTTTTAAGAAGATGGGGATGTTGGAAAAAGACAGTGGCAAACCGTTTCTATATCATGCCTAGAAAATGGCACAGATGTTCCAGAGAAGTCGCCTCAGATCAAGTTTTGACTTGAAAGTGATTTTTATTTTGAAAAAAATCAGATTCTTCAATAAAATTCTGGAAATAATGTGATAAAAATTATCCCGGTCAAGTTTTGATAAAGATAGCTTTAGACTGGGTATGTACTATCATTTCTTGGCTAAAGGCTGCATTAAGTCTTTGTGTATCATGGGCAGGACTAGAAAAGAAATAATAAATTTGATTTACTTCTATCCTTCTGACACATCTGAACTTAAAATTTGGCAGTGTTGATTGCAGAGGCTATATGAACTGCTTTGCAGGTGTGGAAAATGGTGTGCAGTACTATAGTGCAACCTTTTAAAATTAGGAATCTGTGTAACCTCCATGAAAAAAATGTAAATAATAGAGAAGTTGCCTGTGATTGGTTTTGACAAATTGCTAGACAAGTCTTAGCTGTGACATACACCCCC